GAAATGGAGAGTGGCAGGAAGAAGGGGGAAAAAGAGTTGTTGAAGCACAGAGACAAAGGGGATGGACTCCTTAATTTTGCTCCTGATCCTGTCCACTCTGGGCAGGCAGATTAGCTTTGAGGAAATGTGGCCATGGGCAGATAAAAAATAAGGTTGGATGGATAGTAGGACAATCTACTTCAGAAATGTTTGCATATTAATTTCTGGATTATTTTGAGGATAATTGATAGGATTGGTTCAGTACTAATGAACCCTAAAACAAGATAGACTAGATGTTCTGGCACATTTCTGTAATCCCAAAAGCATGCACCTTTTGTAATACACAAAAAGATGCCTAGCACATACTATTGTCTCTTTCCTTTCTTCTTTGAGAAGTCTTCCATTAGCTCCCTCCTTCTCTGTGCCATCTTCCACTCAGCGTGGCTCCTCTGCATTCTTTTTTGGTGGTGATAACACTCTATTGAACACTGTGGGAGATTGGGAGTCCTCAGCATGAGACCAATAAACAGCACTTTTGTCAAATTTCCTAGACTTACATACTGTTAAACAAAATTAATGAGCATTTGAAACTGAAGTTGATCAACTCTGTTACAGCATGCATTAAATAGCTTGTGAAGCTTTGAACAAAGATACAAAAGCAGAAAGCTGATGAATTACTATAGCATGCAAAGGCTTCAGAGATTCTTGCAGGGGGAAGGGGGGATACTTGGTTGCTTTGGGCTGAAGTGGGATTGCAACAATTTTAATTAAACATACAGTACTCCATACAATAGTAAAGGCAACAATGTTTTTGATTGCCATTGAACCACCAAGAGAAAGAAACCAAGCATTAAATACACCCAGACACTTCGTGGCAAGAAAAAAATGAAGGCAAAGGTTTCACACTGAATTAACTGTGATTGGTCTATGAAATTACTGAAAAATTGCAGTAAAATGGGAAAGAATTAAATATTTTAATGAGCAATTAATTAGATTTCATTTGTCACGGGCTTGGAAAGTAAAGTCACCAATATTCAAAATGAAGCAATTTTGCAAAAAGGAAAACTAGAGTGAGCATGCATGAATATTTATGTTTATAAAAAATTATATGAGAAATTTCTAACTTGAATCCATTTGTACAGATAAGAAATTGTCAAGAAACACAGGTAGAAAATGTAAGGCATGCACACAGCCACATGCAATCACTGCTGCAAGGATAAAGTAAATATTTAATGGTAATCAAAACAGAATGAGGCATTGCCACATTCTTTAGTTTGTGCCTACAGGGAATGCAAGGTTTTTTAAATATATAATTTATTTTTTAAAATACAGAACATAGGTTCATATTTACTAATGTGTTAAAATTGGGATAAGTGACTAAGGGTTACAAAAATTAGCTTTCACATTGTTTCAGAAACTGCTGTATTCAGTTCTATGTAATCAGAATGGAACGAGTAGTCCTGCTGATTAGAATCAGTGTAGTGTGATGGTATGAGCATTAGAATCTCTGGAGCTCAAAGTTTGATTCCCCACTCAGCCGTGACCTTGGGTGAGTCACACACTCTCAGCCCCAGAAAATCCTGTGATAGGTTCAGCTTACAGTAGCCATAGTCAAAAATGACTTGAAGGCACACCACAAGACCTACTGATTACCTGTTTTCTCTCCCTAGAGTCAGAACATTGTCCCGATGATCAAGCAGGACTTGTTTTTTTGGTCAGCTTATAGTATTAAAACCGCACATCTTACCATGTTAATGGGATAAACAAATTTAACCATTTTATTGAAAATTGTGGATGCAGCTAAATATGACAATGATGTAAAGCTCCATCAGCATACGTGTGGAGGTCTGGAAGGGTGATGACAGCCATCTGACAATAGCATTGTGAAGCTCTTACTGTGCACCCCATTACCAGTCAGTGGTCTTTTGAATCAGGGGCAGATCTGTACCTTGCATTATCTGGCAGACATTAAGTAGCTGGAAGAAATCTGTTGTGCAGGGAGGTACTGGATACTTCTGTGTGCAATGAAAAAAAGCCATAAATGACAGTAACCCCTTGTTGTGACTATGAATATCACTGACAGCATTCTGCCATAATGGGTGGTATTTATACTGTTTTCTTAGGGCCTTTGCAGACTGCTAGAAATAGTCCAAATTGAGTCTACTTTAAGGGTTAGGGTTAGGGTTAAGGTTAGGGAATCATGGGAACTG